GTTTCCAGACATGTAAACAAATGTAAAACGTCAATTAGTTTTTGATTTTAACTTGTTAATTGATGAGATGAATCTGAGATTAAATGAGCCTCATGGAGCGCATCTTGTTTAAACGGGGTGTTCAGTAAAATATTAGGTACATGATGTCCTTAAACTGTACATGCTCATTTACATCATGGTCTGACAGGAAGAGTTTGGTCCTCTCAGTACAGATAATAATGTGGACTTTTTTTTTGTCAATTGTTGGTAACTCACAAAATAATAAGTCTTTTTTCTCCTTGTTTCGGAAAAAAAAGCACATTATTGACCTTGGGTGGATCCTATAATGGCACATCTACAGAGACGTGTGGATGATTTCTTAGAACAAAGTTATTTTTGTTTCTGTTCATTCAAGAGTTCATCAGTTGTGTTTGAAAAAGAAATGACTAACCAGCAGGTAAAGATCCATCTGTTGGACAGTAAAAATGTTAAAAACGGTGGCTTTGGTGCACCTCTGTTGAAGAACAAAGCACTGATAACCAGCTGTATGTGTGGGAGCAGAATTTAAAACTCAAACATGTCATTCTGCTTCTTAGCCAGCTTTGCCACTTCCTGTCTTATAGCCTGCACCAGTGCAGAGGTGGAGAGGCTGCTCAGGGGCATGCTGTCCATGTTCTTCAGCATTTGGGGCAGACTTTGATCAGACGCTGTGCTGGGGGCAGTGGGTGGCTGCTCCAGAGTCTGTTTGTACTGCAGCGGGAGCCTGCAGGGGCTTCCCTTTGGTAACGGGGATTAGGGAAAGCCTCCACATACCCGGGTAAGGGTACCTGAAAAAGAAGCCAGAAAAACGGAAAAAATTTCCTCTTTAAAGAAGTCATACACTTGTTTTTTTCAATACATTTGCTGCGATCTCTAGTATAAATAAATGCCTTGTGAATTGTTTTCCTGTGCGAAAAAATCTCACATGCTCCTGTTAGTCAGAGGAGTTGGGGCGAAAAGCAGCAGGACTTAAATCTTACTCTTAAATATTGATATGATACAGCTGGTGTGAAAAACTATTTGCCCGCTTCCTGATTTCTTATATATGTTTTTTTGATCATCAAACATATTTAACCATTAGTCAAAGATAACACAAGTAAACACAAAATGCAGTTTTGAAATGATGGTTTTTATTATTTAGGGAGAGAACAAAATCCAAACCTACATTGCCCTGTGTGAAAAAGTAATTGCCCCCGAACCCAATAACTGGTTGGGCCTCCCTTAGCAGCAATAACTGCAATCAAGCGTTTTCCGCGATAACTTGCTACGAGTCTTTTACAGCGCTCTGGAGGAATTTTGGCTCACTCATCTTTGCAGAATTGTTGTAATTCAGCTTTATTTGAGGGTTTTCTAGCATGAACCGCCTTTTTAAGGTCATGCCATAGCATCTCAATAGGATGCTATGGCAGGACTTTGACTAGGCCACTCCAAAGTCTTCATTTTGTTGTTCTTCAGCCATTCAGAGGTGGATTTGCTGGTGTGTTTTGGGTCATTGTCCTGCTGCAGCATCCAAGATTGCTTCAGCTTTAGTTGACGAACAGATGGCCAGACATTCTCCTTCAGGATGTTTTGGTAGACAGTAGAATTCATGGTTCCATTTATCACAGCAAGCCTTCCAGTTCCTGAAGCAGCAAAACAACCCCTGACCATCAACACTACCACCACATTTTAAAGTTGGTATGATGTTCTTGGTCTGAAATGATGTGTTACTTCTACGCCAGATGTAACGGGAAATTTGCCTTCCAAAAAGTTCAACTTTTGTCTCATCAGTCCACAAGGTATTTTCCCAAAAGTCTTGGCAATCATTGAGATGTTTCTCAGCAAAATTGAGACAAGCCCTAATGTTATTTTTGCTTAACAGTGGTTTGTGTCAAGTGTGGCAGTAATCGGGCTTGGGGGTGGCTACAGAAATTGAACTCAGGTGTGAAACACCACCGTTGGGATATTTTTTAACAAGGGGGGCAATTACTTTTTCACACAGGGCAATGTAGGTTTGGATTTTGTTCTCTCCCTAAATAATAAAAACCATCATTTCAAAACTGCATTTTGTGTTTACTTGTGCTATCTTTGACTAATGGTTAAATGTGTTTGATGTTTAGAAACATTTTGTGTGACAAACATGCAAAAGAATAAGAAATCAGGAAGGGGGCAAATAGTTTTTCACACCACTGTATGCAAAAATCTCACCTCTGACTGGCTAAAATTAATGTGAATATTCTTTTTCCTTCATTCACTGTCTTTCTAGAGTGAAATATGCAACATTGATCTGTTATCTCCACAAACATCACAAGCCTGAATGTGTTCTGCCATGTTGTGGAATTGCTAATGCTAAAGGTTTGCTTCTGCTTTTTCTGCCAGCCCACACCCAAAAAAGTCAACTAAGGCATTTGTTTGATTGGTTTAATAGAAATGTGTCTATTTAACATGAACATATCATGTTTATGTTTTTAAATCATTATCACTTATTGGTTTAACATAAAATAACAAAACCAACAACACATACTGATATCTAGTGGGCATGCTCAAACTTGCCGGAAGCTAAGAAGCGGGAACACGGACCAAGTTTTGTGATCAGTGAACTGCTGTTTCCCTCTGCAGTCACTTCCTCATTACAGGTAAATACTGGATGTGTGAAAATTTACGTTGGTTAGTCATTTTTCACATTTTCCAATTCAAGCCTGCATTGGAAATTAAACGGCAAAGCAGACCGGACCGCATGCAGAGGAAACCAGGTATTAGACGGTGCCAACTGACACCGTCTAATACCTGGTTTCTAATGCGCTCCGGCTGTTCGTATCATTCTTTGCATTACACTTTATTGCTTTTCATTTTTTTCTTGTTAACCCATTTCTGTAGTTAGTTTTGAGTAGTGTTTTGAGCGGATATTGAAAAGTTTAGTAAAATATTAACTTTTGTAATTCACTTTTCCACAGTAAGTGAAGTTAGCTAACATAAACTATGGCTGTCTCGTACTGTAACCTTGCTCCATTAGCCATAACATTGCTCTTAAATTACGGTTATTGCAAGCCATTGTGGTCTTTCTTTCTTTTAATTTTTTTATGATCCTTTGCATATCGCGTTGATGCAAGTTAAACTGTAGCACGCGCTAGTTGCTAAACATTAGCTGTGTCCAAATTCAGGGGCTGCATACTTCGAAGTGACATGAGTGCTCATGGGAATAAAAGCACTAATAGGACAGAGGAAAACCCAGTGGCAGATAGTTATGAAGAGTGCATGAACCTTTACAGCTACTACCACCATTTTTATTGCATGGTTTGAAACACTACTGTAACATTTGGCAGCAGATTGGATATTTATCTGTGAATTGTATATTGCAAGAAGTATTTATGTATATTTGCACTTTTATACATGTGCATGTGTTAGTAATATAAATTTGCAGAAAAGTAAGAAGAAATTACACTGTGGAAGTATTTATAAAATAATTTTGTCTGTTTTCTTTACCATAGTTACACCACAAACAAAGCTGCCCCCTTTGTCTGTTTGTTTTGTGCCTCCTATTTGCCTCCTCATGGTAAGTATTTTATCATCATAGATTTTTTATGATAGTTTTATGACTTGTTTAAAAGAAAAATGTGCCAATTAAACCATCCTTAAAAACTGCTTCTCATTTTTTCTTGCAGTGACGTGAATGTGGCAGCGCAAGAGTTGTTCCATCAGGGAGAGTAATAGGTACAAATTATTGAAACACTGTAGATTACATCACCATTATGGACCCAGCCAGCGCTATGTTTGTATATATGTAAATTGTCCATGCACATTTCAGACCTGGTGTGGATATGTTCTCTATTACAGATCGACAAGGAGTTTATGCGAATCACCACAAAGCCTCTGCTTTCTACTTTCTTTGCCGAGCTTGACCAACACACGCCACGCTTGATGGATCTCTTTCGGTGCAAAGGAGGGACACTTGGAAAGAAAATAAGAGGTCACATGCTTGCCATCTCTAAGGTTTGTATTAGAATTGAGTAGACTTTGTCATAGACAGCAGTATAATAGACAGCAAAATAACTTTCATATGGTGATGCAGTTAACATAATAGTTTATAGAGCAATTTTTACATCCGTTATTAGTTGTGGCAGTTTTGGTTCCACTGTCTGATTTGCATGATTACAATGGAATTTCCTGTTTAAGTTTTCTAGTGTTAACCTTTGAAATATGCATTATGCTTGCATAAGATGTACAAAAAATGGTACGCTTTTATGTTGTCTACTAAATCCAGTTAATAAAGTTAATGTCATCATAATCTAATTGTGATTTTTTAATTGTAAAATTATGGGTTCTAATTATGTGTAACAAATGAAAACAAATCTAACTGAAATACATACATTGATATGAGTAAAATCATCAACCCCCATATTGGTTCATTAAGCAAGACTAACAGTAATTGCCTTGATTAACAAGATAGATGTTCAAACAACAAGATTTAATTGTGTTTTCTCAAGTTTTTAACTGTTGTTGAATGAATTAAAAAATGTATTCTACATACTTAAATAAATTTGAGTCAATGAAAGGATACTACATTGATCCAATGTAATCTGATTAAATTAAACCACCAAATTCCAATTGTGTTCGTTTGACATGATCAAAAATGGGTTATCGTACTTGGTTAAATTACGTGGAAATAGGTGCCATGACTAGATTGTGTGCATCCAACAACTGATTTCTTTGAGTGCATCTTGATTTTTTGTCTTAAGCTCCTCCTTTGTTGGTTGTTCCTTTCATAGACTGTCACACAAATGGCATTCCACTGCTGATGGTCCATTGGATGGCAAGGCAAGGCAGCTTTATTTGTACAGCACATTTCATACACAGAAGCAAACCTTTCCAGGAGTAAGATCCTCATCTGTGCCCCAGACAAGCTAGTTCCCAAAGTCAGAAACTCTCTTGGTCAGCTTGCTTCTCACACCAAACCCTCTGTTACGTAAAACTTGATATTATAGCTTAATTTCTTGACTGTTAAAACATCTGGCGCTCCTTAAGAATAAATAAACGGAAGGTTCATCCTGCAGCCTTTTCATCCTGTAGCCTCTACAGGAAGCACTGACCTTCGAGCTGTTTCTGGCAGACCAAGCAAGTCGGTTTTATCAGTAAAACTCCCATGAGAAAGGTCTAGAAAATGCTTTGTTGATTCAGTGTGCGCCTGGAGCAGAGCAGCTTTCCGCCTGATGGTCTATGTAATACTGTGATATGTGTGTGTTTTTTCAACTTTGTGTGCTTCAATAATACTGTCGCAGGACGTTTGTCTGACGAGAGCAATCTGAATTCATGCTTGGTGTGTATTGATTTTTCTCTCCACTTTGCAAAGTCTAAATTGATTGTTTATAATTGGTATTGGTGTTGATTATTACTATAACCCCCTGTGCATTAAACTTTCCCTAAGGTAATCCTGGATTGATAAAATTACCTAACACCCTCTGTCAGGATTCTTGGTGTGACCTTTGACCCAGCTCTCACCCTGGATTCTCATGTCAGTTCTCTTGTTCGCTCTTCCTTCTTCCATCTCAGGAACATTGCTAAGCTGAGTTCCATTCTGTCCCACTCTGAACTTGAGACAGTTATCCACACCTTCATCTCCTCACGCTTAGACTACTGTAACTCTCTTTTCATGTGTCTGAGCAGAACCTCCCTGAACCATCTACAGATGGTTCAGAATGCCTGTGCTCGCTTCTGACCAAGTCCTCCAAACACACCCACATCACCCCGCTTCTCCTCCAGTATGGCGTTTAAAGCGTGCCACAACCCGTGCACGCGCATTGGGTCCACAGCG